AGATCTGACAATACTGGGCCATGCTTTGTATACCAACAGTTGGCGGGAGCTGATGCAGCTGCTGTCTTTAGATGGGAAATGGACTCTCGAGTTTGCCATGACCCCATCACACCCCACTGTCATTTTGACTGTCATTTATAAGACCTGACTGGCCCCCAGGAGGGTGTGGTCCCAGCCCCCCACCCCCCGCCACTGCATGTCAGTCACCTCTAGCCTCCTTCTGCCCTCCCAGCCCTGGACTATTCCTGTCTTCTAGTGCATAAGGGGAGGCCAGGAGTGGTCAGCCACGTGGGCAGGCACTCTGTGTGCTTTAAGTAACAAGAACAATGACTAGAAGAGAACATGAGTTTGCCTTCACCTCCCCCAACTTCAATGAGACCTTGAAAGGCCTCTGACATTAGAAAATCCAGAATGGTAAGCTTAGACTTTAACACATCTCCATGGCAAATGACCATGATCTGGGAACAAGAGTGGGCTGACCACCCACCTCATGACCCTGACCCCTGAGTCAGTCTCAAACACCCAGCCTCTCTGGTATTACCACTCAATCAGCCAGCCATCAAACTCCAAGTCCTCAAGGCTGGACTTTGATTCCTAGGGTCCATCTTTATCTGCTAGAACCTATTTCCAAACACTTAGATATGATGTGGGTCAGGACACGCTCCTCCAAATTATGGCACCCAGATTAGTTTAAGCTGAGGGAGTTTCGGAAAAATAGCAGAGTAGGGAAGCCACTCTGACTTCCTCCTCCTCCTCATCCTTCTTCCCTGAAACAGGTCTTAAACACTCCTATAAGAGCTACCCCTCCCACAGCTGGAGCAAAGGAGCACCCCTACCTCTGAAGACAGAAGGATACCAAGGAGAAACATAACAAGTAGGCCTTGCCCAGCTTCCTCCGGTTCACTACACTAACTTTACACTCCTAACCTGTCATATTCCTCTATGATGATGCACTTTTCATCAAACTTGGCCTGAAACCACACAGGTCTAAGTGTTTCTTCATTTCCTTAGGAAGGCTCCTACATCATGTAATACTTATACTAAATAAACTTGGATGATTTTCTCCTGATAACCTGTCTCCATCAGTTTAATTTTTAGACCGAATCAGGGCCCCTAAGAGTCAAGGATATTCCCCCCCCCCACCCCCTAAATGGCATCATTGTTCTAGATCTGCACTGTCCAACTGGGTTATTGAACCCATTCCTGGGAAATGTGGCGAGGCTATAAGTGTCAAATACACGCCAATTTTCGAAGACTCAGTATGAAAAAAGAATGGAAAATAGCTTATTAGTGATTTTGTTATATTGATTATATGCTGAAAGACTACTTTGGATATACCGAATTAAATAAAATATCCTAGTAAAACCAGTTTCACCTGCTCTTTCTACTTAAAAAAATCAACATTTCACCTATTTTTAATGTAGCTAGTAGGAAAATTTAGTTGTACACGTGGCTTGCCTTATGTTCCTATTGGGCGGTACTATTTCAAAAAGCCCAAACGGTGTGGCCGCTACACGCCCGATTCTGGAAGGTGACAGCACCAGACTGCTAAGTCCATCCTTATCCACGGGGTCTGTATTCCCAGACCCCCCATAGGGTGCCTCAAACTGCAGATAGTACTGAACCCTGTCTGTATGGCGTGTTTCTCATACCTACCTCTAACCATGGTAAAGTTCAGTTGTCAGTGAGGCAACGTAAGAGATTAGCAATAACTAGCAATAAACTAGAACCGCTGTAACAATACATTATAATGAAAGCACATGAATGTCGCCTCTCTCTCTGTCTCTCCCTCTCTGTCTTACTGTAATCTGCTCACCCTTCTTACAATGATGTGCCAGGCTAACACGCCTGTGCGATGAGACGAAGCGAGGGGAATGATGTGGCATTGTGACATCGTGTACGATGACCCTCCTGTAGGTCAGGAGGAGGACCATCTGTTTCCAGGTTGACCGCAGGGGACTAAAACCATGGAAAGTGAAACCAGGAAAGGGGGGACTCTGATATTTTTTGCAACCCGAAAAGCAAACATTCTCTCCTATTCTCTTTCTGGTAGGCACTGGGCTCTCAGCTGCCCAAGGGTCCTTGAGGAAGTCCCTCTGCCATCTCGGTGCTGTAAATTCCTTCTCGGGGCTGGCATGGATTCGGCCCCTTCGAGATCCCACCTCTCTCCCGTCCAGTGCCACCAAGCTACCACCAGACTCTAAGAAGGGGCTTTCTTCCAATCTTTCTGCTATAACATCATTCACGTCCCTGGAACCCCCTCGTGGGTCATTTCCCTGGAAGCAATGGAACAAGTGTTGCCAGATGCCAGGTGTCACCACCTGTGCAAATGGCCAGAGCCAAAGGGAAGAGGCTCTGTTGAAATTCTAGCATTCCTTCCCTCTCTCAGCCCTGCTGAGGACTCTCTGGTTTCTTCTTGCCAAAGAGAGCCCCACCTGCTTGTGACTCCTGCTAGGCTCCTAGAGGCAGAATCCGCCCTTCAGCAGTTTAGGACAGGGTAGGTGGGGAGGTGATACTAACGTCTAGCCCTTCAAAACAGAAGACAGGTGGAGAGGCTCTCTGATTCTGGAGAAAACTGCTAGAAACTTTATCACCTCCACCAACCAGACACAAGGGGCGAAACTGCACCCTCACAATCCTGACCTCCCCCTTCGTAAAAATATAGGCTTTAGGGGCACCTGGGTGGCTCAGTCAGTTAAGGGTCCGACTCTTGATCTCAGCTCAGGTCTTGATCTCAGGGTCATGAGTTCAAGCCCTGCCTTGGGCTCCACTTAAAAAAAAAAAATAATGAATGAAAAAAATAAAAAATTAATTTAAAAATTTAATTTAAAAACTAAAAAACATATGCTTTATCCACATGACAACTCAGCACTGGCATACCGACACAGGATTTTGGAGGTGGAGTCGTGATCAAATCTCCCTTCTACCACTTAGTAGCTGTAGGACCCCAGATAAGTTTCCTCCAATTATCTGGGTCTCAATTTTCTCACCTGTAACAACAGGAACAAATTCCACCTACCTCACAGAGTTGAAAAAATAAATAACAGACGAGAAATGCCTTGCACATAATAGGTGTTTGATAGACATTGGCTTCCTTCCCCTTCAATTTCCTCTAAGCAGTTAGGCAAAGAAGATATTAAAATTCTCCTGGAGAACTGAAAATAAATCCTTTATACGCTGATCTTGGTTTTGTTTACTTGATTGTTTATCAGAATCCTAGTGCCTGGAACAATTTTAAAATCCTGTATGGGAACTCTGCAAAGGCAGGGATTATCTTTGTGGGCCTAGCCCAGTGCCTGGCAAACCAGGAGGCACTAGGTGAATGCTTGTTGAATGAATGAATGAATGATGAATTTGATGCCAGCAGGGCTGGTGCACGTGTGGAGTGGTTGGAGGCACTAGAAGAGGGAGGCTCAGAATTACAGAGTTTAGCAGATCAGTGTGAGGTTCACAGGCCCAGAAGAATTAGAGTGAGGAATACCATCCAAAGTCTGTTTAGACAACTCTGGGGAGCCTTTTTTTCTAAGCGGCAAAGCTCTCACTACCACTCTAGTACTCCATTCAGCCCTGCTTTCCTCAGAAAGAAAGGTTAAATAAAACACATGCGGGGCGCCTGGGTGGCTCAGTGGGTTAACCCTCTGCCTTCAGCTCAGGTCATGGTCTCACGGTCCTGGGATCGAGTCCCGCATCGGGCTCCCTGCTCAGCGGGGAGCCTGCTTCCTCCTCTCTCTGCCTGCCTCTCTGCCTACTTGTGATCTCTGTCTGTCAAATAAATAAATAAAATATTTAAAAAAAAAAAAAGTAAAATTCTTAGCATTTCCTGACCTTGGTGGGGATTGGGGGTGGGGAATGAGTAAATAGTATTATTAAATTTTAAAGATTTATCTGGTGTCAAGTTCCCTCACAGGTGTGTGAGGAGGAGTCTGAAAATCTATTAGTTTATGGTTTATGATTTATAAAAAAAAATTTTTGAATTCTCTGATGTCGCCTGGCCACCGGGGAGGGGCTCTCCCACTTAGCCAACCAGCTCTCCCCAAACAATGGGTTTGAGACTGCAGTGACCTCATATGAATCCTGTTCTGCTGCTCAGACAGAGATTTAACCCTTGGGAGGCTGGAAAGGTCCTGCCCTTCACCTCCCAGCTTTACTCTCCTCTAAGGGAAAAAATCCTATAAGAACTAAGGGTTACTGGTCATTTGTTAAATAAAATAAAATGGAAACAATGGCAGGTGCTTGGGAAGAAGTGGGACCCGGAGGCAGAACCCCATAAATACTTGCTTCAAATATTTAGAGAAGGCAGTCATAATATGCCCAGCATTTTGGATCATAACCTCACTGAGATGCAAAGAATTTGAGATCTTCCTTCCAAAAAGAAGGAAAGAAAAGGGATTGAGATAGGAGCTCTCCACGCCTTTCCAAAAAGGTTTCTAGGCCTTAGAAATTCAGGGTGAGACTTCTATTCCCTCCTGCTAGGCTTGGCTCTAACCCCCAGGAAAGCAGTGTGTCCCAGAGCACCGTTTCTACTGTCCTGGCTTTAGGTGTGTATAGAAGACGGTCAGCACAGGGCCAAGCACCACCAAGGCAGCACTCTGTGATTATACGTTAGTACAGGAAATTCTGTGCTCTAGGAAAGCCAGTGGGTCCGGCTAAAAATACCCATCAAATTCTGACAATCCCAGAATAACCTGATGCCCACGGGCTGCTCCCTGAGAAAGAAGAGCTTTCCTGAAATCCCAGGTTTAAGCCGTGGACTGCGGGGTCAGGAGGATCATAAACCCGAGGACATTCCAGAAGCATGCTTCCTGCTGGGGGAGGAGGAACTGTCGGTCAAAGACTAGGTCTCCTCTTTCTGTTCCCCTGCCCTTCTCTTACACAGCCATCCAGTCACAATCCCTCCCTCCCACCCAGCCACGAAGTCACCCAGAGTCACAAACACTGCTGAAGTCAGAAAACTACAGGCTCCCCCACACTCAGGTGCAACCTAACACCGAGGGCCTCACCAAGACAATGACGCCCATTCCTCCAAACAGCTCGACCCACCTGATTGCCAAAGACAGCTACGGAGCAGGCCGTTGACACCTCGTTAGCCCCGAACCAGACCGAAGCAATGCGGGAGGGCATGCCCAGGATGAAGACCTGGGCCACCGAGCAGACAACCTGGCCCAGGACGGTGACCGGGAAGAGATGTGGCTTCAGGCTCCCCAACTTCACCCAGGCCCCCAGGCAGTTGAGAGCAGAGCCGGTGAGGGCGATGGTGCGCAGGCCGAATTTCTCCAGCAGCCAGGCCACGGGCAGGAGCAGAGGGATGTAGGTGAGCATGTAACACATGGACAGCCAGTCGATGGCAAAGGCGCTGACCCCGTAGAACTTCATGAAGATGTTATTGATGGAGCCATACTGGATCCACTGGAAGGCGTTGCACATGGAGTAGCCGCTGAACAGCAGGACCACCACCCAGCGGCGTTTGCTCACCTTGATCACGCTAAGGTCCTCAGGGCCTGAGCTACTGGGGTGGGCCAAGCCACCGGCTTGGGCCAAGGTACTGGGGTGGGCCGAACCGCTTGGGTGCGCCGCGACGCAGGGGTGGGCCGAACTGCTGGGGTGGGTCGAGACGCTGGGGTGGATGGAGACGCTGGGGGGGGCAGACACGCTCGGCTCTGCGGACACGCTGGCGTGGCCCGAGGCGCTGGCGTCCGCCCAGAGGGCAGGCTCCTGCGCAGAGCTGCCATCCTGCTCGTGTTGGTTGGGATCTTCATTCACCATGACCACAGCCTCTCCTGGAGCCCGAGACAGGTGCTGAGGACTCCGGCAGTCTCAAGGGACAGTGGCCTCGGCTGCTCCCTTAGAGCTGGCAGGGCACTTGCCCCGGCCCAACCCCAGAATAAACGGAGACCCGAGGCTGCGTAAAAACCGTGAGCCGGGCTCCCTTCACTCACCCCCCAAGCTTTTGCTCCCACTTTTCCTTGGTGTCTCTTGCCACCGACCGCTGTCCCCCCAGGCGGCCGCAGACACCTCAGCCCAGTCCTGGCTCCGGGGGCCTGCAGTCCACCCCAGGGGTTCAGGCCTGATTCAGTCCCTCGGTCGTGGAGAAAAGTTCGCGCCTGGCACGGAGCCTCTAGGTGGGACACGGTTCCGCTCCGGGGTGGCTTTGGGGCCCCGCCCCCTCGGGCGCACGTGACCGCCCCACCCCCGTCCAGCCCGGCTTCCCCCACCCTCCTGCCCCCCCTTCCCTCCCGCCTTCTCGAGCCGGGCTGGTCAGGCTGCGCAGTTGTTTCGCCACAGCTTGCGGGGTGCATTCCTCCCCCACGCCCCGGGTGCCATGGAAACCGCCCGGTTAACCCCCACCCCCTGCACTGCCCCTCAGATTCATTGCCTCTCTCAGGGGACCCCGCAGGAAAAAAACCCCGAAGTTCTGCCGAGGTAATCCCACAGATGGAGTCTCCTCGGCGCGGGTCCCCATCCCCTGCGCGTGGGCATCGATGCCCGGCTCCTCCAGAGTGCTCTGGGCAATCCAGGAGGGCTTCCCGACTTTTTACCAATTGGCTGAGCTCCCAGATCCTTGCCGAACTTTCGGTATAGAGAGATTTGTAGGTTTCTCGGTCTGGTTGCGCTCCTCGGGTAAATGCGAATTGCTGGAAACTCGTATTGCTCGCTCGTTGCTTTGCCTGCCGAAGTGGTCTTTTCTTGGGGGACTCAGATTTGAACCCGTGAGGTACGCCTCTTCTTTCCTGTCGGTCTCTGGTCACCTAGGCAAACACCGGTGGGTGGAGGGTAGCCGGGAGTTTGGAGAGTTTTTAGAGCTGGTGGCCTTGTTGCTGGGTATTTCTTTAAGTAGCCCTGGGCTGCCACCTGTTGATCCCAGCCCGTGACAGAGGATAATCCTTCAAGTCATCGCCTCCAGAATGTCAGGCCTGCAGGGCAGAAATGTCTGTTTTCCAGTGTCCATTTCAGCCCCGGAGGGCGAGGGTGGGGGGGTGCAGGACCCAGATTCTCTCTGGGTTAAAACACCAGCTTAACTACTCCCAGGAGTGTGATGTAAATTAAGATACTCTACCTCCCTGCCTTGGTTTCTTCACCCATAAAATAGGAATGATGAAATCCTAAGTACACACCTCACAGTGTTGTTTTGAGGTTTGAATGATACAAGACGTGAAAGTGCTTTTAAAATTTCCTGGCGGATCGCAAGCGTTCCATGAGTGTTAGCTATCCTAAGAATCCAAAAGCTAATATTTGTTGTATCATGCCAAACATGTTTGCTACATTATGTCATTAAAGCATCACAAGAACTCTATGATGTAGTTACCATGGCCAGCCTGCATTTAAGATCAGAAGATTAAGGCTCAAAAAGTGAAGTGACTTCTTAAGATCCCAGCTGGCTTGAAGAACCATAGTTCTCAGTCAAGTCTGTATTCACTCCAGCTATAGCCTAGCTGCTCACATGCGGTCTGGGAACAGCAGTGTGGGCATGCCCCTGGGAGCCTGTTACAAAAGGCAGAAGCCCAGCCCACCCTGGACCTCCCGAATTAGAGGTTACATTTTCGAAGACCTCCAGGTGATCTGTTTGCACATCAAAGTTTGAGAGCCACTGGGTGCTACTGCTTTCCTTTGTTTTCTTTTTAAATTTTCAAGTGAATGTTGAATTTAAAGCCCTGGGCAACGGTTCTCAACTTGAGTTGAACATTAGAAGCACATGGGGAACTCACCATTCCCAGTGCTTCAGCCACACCCCAAATCTGGTTCATTAAGAGGGGACCCCTGGCATCTGCACATTTAAAGGTCCCCAGGTCGTTTGAGCACCCCTAGTGGGGCCAAAGCCACTGGTTCCTAGGAGGGGGAACACTGTTTGGAGTCACCCACTTTTTTTGCAGAAATTATGGGTTCTTGGATTATCGTGGAATGTTTGGAGAGAAAACTCACACCCAGGAAGAATCTCTACACTAATTTAACAGTCCCCATTCTCAAAATTCCAGCAGTGTTTCCTATCATTCTTCAAGGAACACAGAACCTCTATTCTCTTGAAAGACCTTCTAAGACCTCTTACTGCATCTAATTCCTAGATCATCATAGACCTCTCTCCAACTCTTAACAATGTATTCAGAAGAAGAAGGAGGAGGAGGAGGGAGAGAGGAGGAGAAAGAAAGAAAGAAAGAAAGAAAGAAAGAAAGAAAGAAAGAAAGAAAGAGAAATTCATTTATTAATTTTTTTAAAGTGATCTCTATACCCAGTGTGGGCTTGAACTCAAGATCAAGATCAGATGCTCTACTGACTGAGCCAGGCAAGTGCCCTTTTACAATGTATTCTTACCTGTATCTTGCATATATGGAAACTGAGGCCCAGAGAGTTGGAGCCTGTAGCTCAGAGCCCCACAGCTACTTAGCATCAAAACAAGCAACAATATGGTTCTGTGAGTTCTCTTCCACCCAGCACACCTCCTCTCCCCTACTGTGTGCTGCTATGGGGTAACAAATGCTAGAGTTTGGTGACAAATCCCACTGGTCTAACCACTGGTCTAATCACTGGTCATTCCAGTGATATTTGGGGTTACCTTTTGTGGTAGAGTGAGCCAGATCTAAGGATCTAACGTGAGGTCTGGATTCATTTACTAATCTCTCTATCCTCCAGGTCTATAAAATGAGAATTTAAAATATCGGCAAAATTGTTTTTAGTAATAATAATGTGGCAGCCATCACAGTAGTGCTTGGCTGATTCCCACCAGGGATGGACAGCTATGTAAATGTTGGGATGATATTACATAGAGAGAAACATTCTGTGTTCATCCATTGAGAAAACATTTACTGAGCTGCTTACTATGTGTTACATCTGTTTACCTATCAATAGATATGTCCTAAGTATAGGTAATCTTGAAGAGGAAGGAGAAATACACTTTAGAGATTGCTTCCTGAAAGGGGGCCCTGGTCTCTTGTTTATCCCAACTGGTTCTCTGGGAGTTTGAGGGACCCTCTGGCCTTGAACACAAGCTTTCCTGGCCTTCAGCGAACAGCAGCAAAGTCTGCCCTCTAGAGGCTAACAACTATTCCCAGCAATAAAAGTAGGACTAGAAGTCACAATGTCCTAGCAGATAAGCCAGGACTATGGATGGGTGAGGAATGGAATTTGTTGAGTCTGTAGGAAGGCTAAATTGCTAATGAATGAATCAGATCGAGATTCTGGATCAGTCCCTTTTAAAAAATACCAACACTTAGAATTTGTGGAAATGCAGCTCTTACAAATCTTATGCGTGTAATAGTGCATCCTCACCAAATCCTACTTTCCCTTGTCTCCCACACTCCCATACATTTCTAGGTCCTTAAGGACTTGTGTATGTCTTTGCGTACTTTGGAGCTTTTGGTGGGATCATTCATACAGCACATGCTCTCGGTACTTATTGGTAGTATAGAGTTGAACTACACTTCACCATGAAATTTCAGAAAACTGGGACAAAAAGGAGCTCCGAGAGGTTTCCAGAGATTGAAAAACAGGTTTCATAAAATGCATTCCAAAAAAGCAGGCATGGAATGTCATCAGAGTTATCCAACCTGGAAACCTGAAGTCAGGGAAATAATGCCTTCAGAAGAAAATCGTGTCCTGCCTAGAATTCCATACCCAAATGACCAAAGCAAAACCAGTATGACAAGAGACTCAAACATTTTCAGAAATGCAGAGTTTCCCAAAAAAGGTAGTGCCTCATCCTCTCTCTCAGAAAGCTGCTGAAGGATGCACTCCACCAAAACAAGGGAGGAAGCCTAGAGAATAAGTTGTTAGATCCAAGAAAATGGGGACTCCAATGCAAGAGGCAGGGAACTGGAATCACCAAGATCATAGTAAAAGAAAACCCCAGATGAACCATTACGGGCCAGGCATGGAACGCACCTTGTTCAGAAGGAAGCTAGTCAAAAAACTCCAGGAAAGTTTTATTCAAGTAGATGACACTGATAGGATTGTGTGCGAAACTCTTGAGAGGGGTTTACACAATTGGGGTGAATTAGAGCTAGGACTTGTGACAACGTATCACAAATATAATTAAGTAAATGGGAGGGACCAAGTGTTAATTCCAGTGGAATATGAAAAGTTGTGGAGGGAAGAACGGAAAATCATGGTTATCTTAAGTGACTCAGGTGTGAATCACATGGTCATCACAATGTGAAGACTGGAAGCTGATACAACCAAGTATGATGTAACTATATTGGGAGATCGGGGAAATGGGAAGTGAGCACATGTGTGTGGTAGAGGGGCGGGTTGGGTAAACAGAGCTAAATCTTTGACTGCCTTATCGGAAAGTCAATGCATAATGCCTAACATGGACAAAATCAGAAAGTATCAATATACCATCTGATTTAGAGTTATGGAGGTAAATACCGAAAGACTTATCTGACAAAAGTTACAAGTCCTTGGCTTGGGTGAGTAGGAAAGGTAATTAAGCAACTGATATTCTCGATACATGACCATTTGATTTATTAAACTTGTATAAATTTGGCTTTAAAAAACTCTACACTTTTTTTTTAAGATTTTATTTATTTATTTGACACAGAGAGACGCAAGGAGAGAGGGAGCACAAGCAGGGGGAGTGGGAGAGGGAGAAGCAGGCTTCCCACTGAGCAGGGAGCCCGATGAGGGGCTCTATCCAGGACCTCAGGATCACGCCCTGAGCTGAAGGCAGACGCTTAACGACTGAGCCACCCAGTCACCCCCCAAAACTCTACACTTTTTTTTTTTAAGATTTTATTTATTTGACAGAGAGAGAGAGACATCACAAGCAGACAGAGAGGCAGGCAGAGACAAAGAGGGAAGCAGGCTTCCTGCTGAGCAGAGCCTGATGCGGGGCTCAATCCCAGGACCTTGAGACCATGACCTGAGCCGAAGGCAGAGGCTGTAACCCACTGAGCCACCCAGGCGCCCCTCTACCATACATGTTTATTTAGGTCTTTAAGTCATCCACTGCCTTGAGTTTCTCAAGTTATCCTGCCCTATTCATATTCTATGTCAGTCTCTCGTTTGATGTCCGGCCTAGAGAAGGGAAGTGAAGGCGTGATTGAACTGCCTTCTGAAATGCAACTCCTAGGCAAGTTCCATCTCCAGATGGCCTCAAAAGGAATGGCAACATGTCCAGCTTGTCCTGAATACTCATGCCTCCTTTATTTTGTCTTTTTTTTTTCCCCCCGGAAGGCTCCCACAGAGCCCATAGTGTGGGAAAGCCCCAGATCAGTCCCGTGGTATGGGATTCTGGATTCCTTCCCTTCCAGGGTCCTCTCAGTTCAGAGTGTCTCCAAGTCTGTCCTTGAAGGGAGTGGGACCAGGGCCTGCTGATGTCTTAAAGAGCAGGGGAAGACCCATTCTCTTTAGAAGACAGGACAGAATGAAAGCTTCCTAGCTGGACACGTCAGGGCCAGGCTGTGTCCTGGATGCATGGTTTGAAATGAATGTTTCAGTTCCCTGGGTATACAGAGCTGTATCTTAAGAAGCCTCAAATGGTATCAGTCATTATCCTAAAGAAAAGGCCTGTGGACCCAGGTCACATTTTACTTCCTCAGCTGTCCACATTTTGATGTGTTCGTGGTACTCATTATGTTGTTCTTGATAGCTTTTTATAGATTTTAAATATTTCTTAATAATTAGAAAACAAAGTTCCTCCATAAACATGAGAAAGGCCTCGCTAAACAGTCAAAGAGGAAGGAGATATTAAGATTTTTTTTTGCATAATCTATAGAAAGCCCAGAGGTGTGAGGTTTTCTTTGCATAATGAGACAGAGGAAGTGTGGTAGCAGTGAGATTTTTTGATCACCAAGGCAACAATTAAAGGTACATGGGGTGACA